TTCATGACCACACACTTATTCACCATAACAATCAAGTTTTATTACTGCCACTGCAGTCTTCATGCAAACATTGAAACGGTGAGCCCTAAAGTTACTGCGACACACATCTATTTCCTAATCATAACGGCATTTCTTCAGAGTAGCTTTGCTTTTAGTTCAAGCAATATGCCCTGTGGTATAAATAACAAAGAAGTGCTTCAGTACTTGAGATTTTGAACAGTAATTAATTAAAAACAATCATATATATTTTTAACCTAAACATACCATTTTAACTCAGATGCAATAATGCAAGTAGAGTCTTCATTATATAAGTTGAACGTTGAGGACCAGAAGGACTGCGACATTCATCTCATACTTTCAAACATAGCGTGAAGACTTCAGAAGTCCTTTACGTTTACTTGCAGCACTGACCTGAGGTAATAAAAGAAAAAAAATGCTTCAGTATAGATAATACTAAAAAACAGTATTAGATAAAAGAGAATTTTTGAGTTTTAACCTACACATACCAATTGAACTCAGTTTGCAATCCTGCAACTAGAATCTTCATTATGTTATCTGAATGTTGAGGATCAGAAGGACTGCGAAGTCCATCACATACTTCCAAACATAACGGAAAGTGTTCGGAGTTCCTTTGTGTTTAAATCCAGCACTAAAGTAAGGTAATAAAATCAAACACATGTTTTAGTATTCATAATACTAAGAAACAATTTCATATAGAATGAAGAATACAAGTTTCAATGCAGACTCACCATGTACTGCATATTTTAATAGCAGTTATGCTTGCTGGGTGACGTATCAGAAATAAAACTTCAAAGGGATTGGCCAGAATCACAGCAACTATAAAATAAGAAAGACAGTCATCATAAAAGATATAAATAATGATATTTAGAAAAACAAATTTCATAATAGAAAGAATAAAAGCAGTAGGTGGTCTGAAGTAATGCACAAGCCTAAGGTTGTAAATATATGTCAAACAAGAAACGGCACAAGTTCGGATCAACCTTTCACATAGCAAAATGCCATTACAATCACAAATATCTATTCCGAGGGGGCAATAACTACCTTTAAATGTGTACACATGATTCCCGAAAACCTTGATTCCCAGTGATTCCCGTCCTCTTATGTTCATTCCTTAGGTTTTCCAGTAGTAGGAAACGCTTATTTCGCCTAATTTTTACGTTATTTTGACTAATTTGTACGAATTCCACTAGTTTCCCGCTTATTTTAAGCGATTTCTGTTGATTTTGACTGATTTTTATCCAGTGATTCCCAGGCAGGTGTACACATGATTCCCGGAGTTATTGCCCCCTCGATCTATTCTATCATTTTACATTAAGTATACAATACTGTTTACAATAGTGGTGCACTATAAGCTTTGATTTAAAGTTATTATCATTGCAGCAGCATACCATGTCAACAGGTTTGCATGTCTATCATAATGTAAACAAACAGTACATTAGGTTATGATTCCAAACTTGAAAAAAAAAAATTGGTTGGCTCTTTGGTTTGAAGATAAATAATTGCCTCCGGTGCATTTCGAATAATAAGAGAATAGTTTAAACTAGAAGGACTAATGTGATCCGAATGCAAAACTTTGTTTACACTTTAGAAAGGAGCCTACAGCCTACAGCCTAAAGTCCCCAGATAGGCTAGGAGGGTACTGCATGAAAATACGTGTGTAATCAAACTATTTCAGAGTTCTTGCATCACACGGTTTACTGAGTAATACTACGTACCTGTTTTATGAAGTAGGATGTAGTAATTTTAGGAGGTAATATCCGTTTCTTCAATAATATTCCTTCTTACAAGGCAAGGCCTAAAACTTGAAAGTCGGCACGGCAGCAAGATAGCTGACAAGCGGACGAGCGACGAGCGTTCTTGTCCGGCAGAGTAGGCTGCTTTTGCCACCAACATTCCGGCACAGACACGAAAATATTTTTTCGCTGAAGTTTGCATCAGGTTTCTCCTGTTTAATGTGTAGAAACGTTTGAATACTTATAGAATGTTTACTTTATAGTCGAAAATGATGTGCTGCTGTGTCAAAAGGAGCGAAAAATACACTCGTTTCTCATGTCAGGTTGGTACCTGTGTGGGAGCGCGCACCGGCTCCCTCTGCAAAATATACCATTCCGTTAAAGCTAGCTGAAAAGCAGAAGAATGCGGGGAAGAAGAAACCGGAAATCGGTATGCTTTAACATGGTGACTTCCGTTTTCTTGTTCCCTGCATTCTTCTGCATTTCAGCTTTACCGGAATGCTTGCTAAACTGGGACATTTTCTCTAAAATATAGTCAATTTAACTGAAATGATGACAATTCGATGAAAACGACAAAGTTCTGACGAACTTATGTCCAGACTTACGTCCAGCCACCGGGTTGACACGCTTATCTAAAGCCGATGTCGACTTACTTTACTTAACTTTACTGGTAGTCGGAGTTGAACTCCGAATTTCTGTGCCGCGGTCCCATTACAATGATCAACAGACCTAAGGGTGGAGAGCCCCGCCGCCAGTGACCCCGAGTCGCCCCAGAGCCTCTTGCCGCTCCCTGACCCTGAGTCAGAAGTGCGGCAGGCCGGGCGGCAGCAGTGTGCCACTGTAGGGGCGATGAGGGATTTTCCGACCTCATGTCCCACCTGGGTTTTTTCATTTCACCCCACGCCCTGCTGGCTTGCTACTGATCTTACGCGTCAACCCAAACAAGTTGTACAAGTTAAACTACAAGCGGCATAGTCCTGGCAGTATCATTGTAACCCTGCCTTGCCGTCCATTAAATTACAGACAAAATTGTCGAGTTACCTCTGCGCCGTGAAATTACATATATTCCGGGCAAATTTACAGTTTTTCTGTAATATTACCTAAGGCCTGGAAAATGTTTACACATTTTGAGTGACAATATTACCAAGTCTTGTAAATTTACCTCACTTCAATGGGAAAATTACATAATTATGTTAAATTTACCATAAGACTTATGTAAAATTACATGAGTTTGTTAAATTTACCATAAGACTTCTGTAAAATTACAGTGGTTGTAAATTTACAACAAAACATGTCGTAGAAATGCCAGTGCTTGTAATTTTACATAAATTTGTTGTAAAGTTTTACAAGCTTTTTATGTAAAATCACTAATTTTTTTTACAGTGAATTTTCGACGTGGTTTCACCAGGAGTGTTCATATTCCCACGTATTTTCACGTGTGTTAACATGAGTTTTGAATCTTTCCACGCGTACATCCTCATTTCCATGTGGGTTTAGTAAACTTCAACATGGATTTTCTATTTCCCACGTGGATGACCGAATCTCCATATAAATTCGGTAGTTTTCCACGTGAGGTTTCTAAATTCTACGTGGATATTATCTTTACCACGTGGGGTTCATATATCACCACGTTTGGTTCTTTCATTTCCAAACAGGGTTTTAATTTATTCACGTGGGTTTCCTATAGCCCACCGTAACTTTAAATTGGGGTGGCCGACAACAGTATTGACTATACTCCGAGGAAAGATAGATTGCATAGTGCACAGTGCACGGCCATGTGATAAAAACCAATTTTGTTATTTTAAATTTTGCTGATATATTCTGAACTAATGGCCGTATTGGAAATCTGAGTCTATCTTTGGATCTTTGGCCTTTTTTAGCCACCTGGGGAAGTTGTTTTAATTCATGTCTTATGACACACTTTGGACTCAGGCAGGACTCACGTCTTTGGATCTCTGAATAAGTGTGGGGAACCAAGTGGTACTCCAAAACTCCACTTGGAATTTCAGAAAATAAACATGTGGGTTTTTGTAAAAACGCACATGGAAAGTAACCAATGATCCCATGAAAAATACCTCGTGGGAATCTTATAAGAAACCCTAAAGGAAAGTCTTCGAAAACCCACGTGGGTTTGTACGTGGATTACTCAGCTAAGGGTTGATCCAGGACGCATCCTTTCGTGTCCGGTGGGCGTCTTGGTGTGTCTAG